ATCATCTTTTGAATCATCAGTACCATTGTAGGCCTACGAAGACGCACTTCACCGTGTTATTTGCTTCTCACTTTCATTAACTTTTGATAGTTTTATTTCTTTTAGTATAATTCGTATAATATAAACTCATAACATGTATATACTCTGCCTCTAAAAATCCCGTGTCCTCCACTATATTTCGCGCCCTTTTTCTTCCGTTCCCAGTTTCCCCTGTCCGAGCAAATATAACTCAAATATTAATGTCAACGGTTAATGTCCAACATCTCCTCTTCTCTGAAAGTTTTTTTTTTCTTTATAAGTATACCTATATACCGCGTTCACTTATGTGTCTATACCTAGCCTGTCAGGTTTTTTAACTAACCGTCCACTACGGGTTTTGCTTGTAGAACTTGTTTCGGTATTTGTTTCATTGCGTTCTATGTGTGCTGGTTGAGGGTTTTCTTGAGGCAGATCATTGTCGATAGGTACAGAAACATTCTCTTCCGCTTCGGACATGTCTGACATCTCTTCATCTGCGTTGTCACTATCGAATTCTGCAGGTAACCTTGATCGTCGGATGAATCTGTTTCTAGTATAGGTATACCCGTTGCATTGGACTTCATATGATTTTATCCCGGCTTCGCGTACAACGATCCCTCTCTTCCATTTCTTTTCGCCGATTCGGGCTGGCTGTAGTCTCACCACTTCTCCTTTCCGCAACGGACTGAGCTCTTTTGCGCCACGATCGTGGTATTTCTTTCGGAGCTGTTGTCTTTGTTGGATGCGTTTGTTTGCTTGCGCATTTATCTTCGGTTGGAGCAACTTCTCCGAGACGGGCAAGGGAGTCTTTGTACGGCGGTTAAACAATCGTTGTGCGGGGCTTGTTTCATGGTTGTTGTTTGGGGGGTGTTTCGGTGGGCAAGAATGGCAAGGTAAATGTCATCGTTTGATGAGTTGCATGTTCGAATTATTCGTTTGGCTTGCTTGACGGCAGATTCGGCTTTGCCGTTGGATTGGTGGTGATAAGGACTGGTCGTTATATGCTCAAATTGGTACTTCATAGAGAAGTCTCGAAAGTTATCACTGATGAATTGTGGGCCGTTGTCTGTCACAAGAGTGTTTGGAATACCGAACCTGGCGAAATGGGGCTTTAGTTTCTTTATAACTGCCAGTGATGTCAATTTTTCAAGGCAGTCAACTTCGAAGAAGTTCGAATAGTAGTCCACTGTCACTAAATACGATTTATTTTCAAATTCAAAGATATCACAACCGATTTTTGCCCATGCTCTCTTTGGCATTTCATGCGGGATGAGAGGTTTTTTCGGCTGCTTGGAACTGAATATGTCACAGGTGATGCAATGTGAGATGTGGTCTTTCAATTCTTGGTTCAGGTGTGGCCAGTAGACGGTTTCTCTGGCTCGCCGACTTGTAGATGCGATCCCTTGGTGTGCTGCATGCAATTCATTCAGTACTTGCTTTCGTAGTGATTTTGGGATAACGACGCGGTCTCCCCTAAAGACGAGGCCCTCTTGTGTTGTCAAAATTCGTCTCGTAAATGGAAGTACGGGGTGATTGTTGGAGATAGATCTTTGGAGCTTTCGGGCCATCCTGACTGGATGAATGATTTGGCTTGCTGTAGGTCTTGATCTTTCGTTGTGTAATCTTGGAATATGGTTGTTGTTTCACAATTTAGTATTTCGTTGATTTCTTCCAAACTGTCCACTTGGTCGAGATCGCTGTCGACGTTGCGTGCTTCGTCGGTGGAGTTGTCTAAATGGTGACGACTGAGTGTTTCAGCTAGCAGCATCTCTGACCCTTTCCTATAAACGATGGTTAAGTCATATTGGTGTAAATTCATCATCATCTTTTGAAGACGTCTAGGTGCTGCTGACAGAGGTTTCTGATGAATGACTTCGATCGGCTTGTGGTCTCATTCTACCGTAATTGGTCGGCCATATGTATACTGGTGAAAACGCTCGGTTCCGTAAACTATAGCTAACAGTTCCTTTTCTATCTGAGCGTATTGTTTCTCTGCGTGCGTCAATGCTCGGCTTGCAAATGCGACAGGCTTTCCCTCTTGAATGAGTGCGGCCCATAGGCCGTGCTCGCTAGCGTCACACTGTATTATCAGGGGTTTGGTCGACTCGTAGTACTTGAGGACTGGCGGTTCTGTGATCAATTTCTTTATTTTGGTGAAAGCGGCGTCATGCGATTTGTCCCAATCGAAAGGCTGATTTTTTTTGTGAGTTGTCGTAGTGGTTCAGATAGTTGTGAGAGGTGGCCTGGGGAAGGAACTTGGCGAGATAATTAACTGTTCCGAGGATTCTCCTGACGCCAGTCACGTCTGTTGGTTGCTTCATTTCTAGTATGGCTTGTACTTTAGCAAGATCCGCTTGGACACCGTCAGAGGTAAGAATGTTGCCAATGTATGGCATTGAGGTCTTCTTCAACTCAATCTTATTTGGGTTAAGCTTGATATGTTTAGCTCTGCAGCAGTCGAATAGTTCCTTGAGCTTTCTGTCATGGTCGGCTACAGCTTCCTGCATCGTCTCTCCATTTCCTATTACTAAAATGCCATCAGCAACAGTCCGTACACCATCCAAGTCACTAATTTCTTGGTCTAGTCGTTGCTGGAAAATCTCTCCAGCAGGGGAGATCCCAACAGGCATCCGTTGCCATTTAAATCGTCCAAATGGAGTGCTGAACGTCGTTAAAAGAGACGATTCTTCGTCTAATTCTACTTGCCAATATCCGTTGCTACAGTCGACTTCGGTAAAGACTTTTGCATTGGACAGTTCTAGAAGTACGTCGTCAATTGCCGGTATTGGATGGTGGCATCGTTTCAGCGCTTTATTGAGTGGTCTGGGATCGAGGCGTAATCTAATTTTGCCATTGGGTTTTGGTGCAACAACAATGTACCATTTTAGGGGTCAAAATTTTTTTCCGGACATACCAAAGGTCAAATATGAACTATAAATTGCCTGAATCTCATGATTTTCCTAAAAAAGCATCGTTGGAAATGTGATTTATCACGTTGTATTTTACAACTAAAAGGGCACTTCTGCCCCCTGCCCCCCCCCTAGCAAAAGGCAAGGGAGGCGGCGCCGCCTGCCCTCTACTTACTTACGGGTTCCGGCGTCCCTGTTTAATCCGCCATTCAGTAAGAACGTAAAAACCAACGTGGCACATAGCTTCTTACAACTAATCGACAAGCATTTGGACAAAGTTGTGGTATTACCTTGTCGATCGTTAAACAGCTAGGATGCACTTGAATCCAATTATGTCTGAGATGAGGTACATATTTGGAAGGATTTCAACTACATCGGCGATAAACAGCGGAGTAAAGTGGGAAATTTGGCCAAATACGCCATTTGCAGGATCGAGGTAGATAAATTTCGAATTATTATTTCGGTCACAAAGTATCAACTATTTTGCAGCAAAGCAGTGAAAATATAAATAATTAAGTACCAATTATGTTTCTATAAAAAAGATTTAGGAAAAAAGGTAATGTAGGTCCACTGCTGTTTAATGTAGATCCTGCATGTTGAACATATTCCTTAGTCGTTTTCAACAGTTTATATTTTAGTACCTGCATCGCTATTTCTTCCTGTTCGTCTATGGGTATTGGAAGGTGTACCCTTTTGTTAAAAGGAAGGTCTGTTGCTCGCAAATGACTTAATCAACAGTTTTTGTCTCCGCATCAAAAGGCCACAGCCTCCTTGCTGGCCCTTGTTGTTTTTTTTCGTTACGACCATTTAACTCTATCAGTGTGTCTCCAGCTTTTTGGGCCGTCCAGCGAAACTTGGTCAGTCCTTTCTCGATCTGTGCTTCACAAGCTGCTAGGTCTACCCATTCGACACTTAGAAAAAAATGCCGTGCTACTAGCACGAGGTAGCCTGTGATTTTGACAGGCAGCCCGTCATGACGGGTCATTTTTGTTAAATTTTTGAATTGAAACACTAATTTCGATCGATTGACCTAAATTCGCTTGAACATAAGCGTCTTTCTACCATTTACGTATAGGACTGTTATATGCACAACAAACGATGGAGGAATTAAAAAATTGTTTGGTTTATGAAACGTCACTGACGACTTAATATATCTTTCGATCTAACCGTTAGTGTTCCCATTTATTTGCCAATCCAACTTTTAAATGTGGTCCAGAATGTTTGGGATGAAAGCTGTGGCCCCTCCCTTTGCTCATCGTTATTTGTGTTTGCGTCCAAGACCATATTTCCTGGAACGAGAACATTCAAATCCTTCCTCAGCCGTTGAAATGCTGGAAAAATATCCGGGTGACTTTTAACGAAATTATCTATGTTGAAGACCTCTCTCACTCTTCCCGCTGCCAACATCAACGCATCGATTTCGGGATCTGCCTTTTCCGGCCCAGAATTGGCGGTCGGCATGGGTTCGTCTCGACTGCGCCCTATCTCTCCGTTGTAAGAACGAATGGACATGAGATTTTTTATATATTTGTAGAGGGAGCACCCTATTTAATTTGCAACTTTGTCCACGTATTTCTCATCGTCAAGACCCAACCTGCTGGCGGAGTAAAAGAAGAGTATCTGGTTGTCAAGGTGTTATAATCATTACTTGTTGCATTGTTGTTCACACTGACTGATGGTGGCGGTTGCATATCTGGGCGAGAAATCATGTTTTTGTCACTGTCACGCATTTCTTCGCGTCCATCTTGTTCGCCCTCCACATCCTTTGCGCTTGTCCCCCCCTCACTGACAGATGGGGACCGTTGCATGTCCATGTCAGAGTTTTCAGATTCGTTTATGTTTTTTTCAGTGTCACGCATTTCTTCACCTCGATTTCCTTCATTAAGTCAAGCTATTTCCTTAAATTTGATGCTCAGATTGCTGCAAATGGCGTTTCTGGAAGTCTATATTTTAAAAATTTTCCGGGGGGCGGCATGCCCCTGGATCCCCTAGAATGTCTCACGCCTTCGGCGCTGACTTTGCCACTGGACATAAGTCATCTTTGCATTGGCGGGGATAGTATAAATTGCGGAGCGGTGAAGAACGTGGCCGCAGATTACCAAAACGCCAGCAATTTTTCTGATAGTTCGTATCATTTCATCAGACTGCGACAATGATTGTATCGTGTCTACTTGTGGCGATATTGACGTTTCTAACACAAGTCTATGCGATTGCTGACTGTATGGCGTCAAGATAACCATCGTAATTGACGATAATGACACAACAAGGCACGCTCGGGAGGTGTATCGGATGGAATTCTTCATCGTATTCCTCTTCGTCGTTCTCTTCTTCCGTAGAGGAGTCGTGGACATTGCAACTGGGGTTGTAATGGGCCTCCACTGTTTGAAAGAGCTGTCTTGCCGCATTTTCCAATTCATTATTGGCAGCGTTTCGAACTTTCATACCTTGAATGACCGGCTCAAATCCAGGGGCGCCGGAAGCAATGTCAAGCGGCGGGGGCAGCCATTTCAAAAGGGCGCTTGCTCCTCAGCCATCATTTTTCTGGGCGGCAATACTTGTTAAAACTCGACTGTAGGATACTCGATTACTTGTGGCTATTATGGGTCGGCAAACTTCGACATTAATTTTGAACAATTTTATTCGTTGAACCATGTTAAGGGCGCAAAATAAAATCAGTAAACGGATATATTGCCTGATTTACCATTAATTTTACAATAACTGGTTAAAAATTAAGCAAAGATTGCTCAAGCATTTCTTAAAAATAGTTATAAATTCCAATTCCTGTGAAGAACGCACAAATTTGAAGTGCAGTTCTGGTAAAAAGGGCAACCCGCTGCTCCGTGCTGCCCTCGCACTGTTTAGGCAAGGGAAGCAGTTGCCCACGCTGCCCCCGTGGCTCCGGCCACTCTGTCTAAATCTTGGTTATGTAGCGCGGTAAAAAAGGTGTTGTCGTTGCAATTGTCGTTGGGTGTGTACACAATGAAATTTGCACTCGAGGGATAGGTTTCATTGTGCTCCGTGTTTATGGGTTCCTCCTCAACTTTTGATTTCGAGTTTCAGCAAACGTTTGCGATGCAGAAGAAAAAGAAATGCACTCCATCTATCGCATTAATGGCATCGTCCAAAAGCAATCTTTTCGAAGCTATTTGAAATCTTGCAAGCTCTATACCTTCGTTGCACACACGACAAGCAGCACGGCATGCGATTGCTTTCTGTTCGTCTCTTATCTAGTACATGTTAACGACGAGACGTTTATTACACTTACGTGAGTTGGGAAAATGGCATTGTAAATGAAAAACAATCTTAAAGAGTTCTGTATTCGTTTAGAATCCAGCTGTTCACGCGTTTTTTGAAGGAATTTTTAACCAAACATATTTCCACTGTTAGTGTTTGGAATTGCGAAGGCGTTGCCAGCTGGCAATTTCTTTCGCTTGTTTGTCGGGCAAATACGCGTATATTTAGTGTTGGAGTGTTTTGGTCCGCGGTAGATTTCATCCGGTTGCGGTCAGTGGCGACTTGCAGAAAGCCTTTTTGCAAGTCAGAATCAAAGTAGAAGACCGTGATGCACTGCGGTTCCATGGGAAGCCCAACAGTCAAGCTGAGATACAAACCCTCAGATTTACTCGAGCCTTGTTCGTGTTGGCGCCATCACCCTTCTTGCTGGGAGGAGTGATCGAGTACCATCTACAATCATGGGAAGATAGAAAACCTGATACTGTTGTTGAAATCAAGAAGAGTCTTTATGTTGACGACCATATCTCGGGTTCCACTACTGTTGAGAAAGCGAAAGAATTAAGAGACGGTGCAATTGAAATTTTTGAAGATGCTAAATTCACCCTCCACAAGTGGAATTCCAATGAAGATGAATTACAACCAAAGGAAGTAAATGCACAGTCGGATGGAAGTACTTATGCTAAGCAACAACGAAAGCAAAATTCTCGGTCTTCCTTGGGACAAGGCGAAAGATACTTTAAAAGTAGTTTATCCCCAAGAGAATGGTGACGTGACAAAACGAGGTATCCTTACTAGTTTGGCAAAAATATACGATCCACCTGGCCTTGTTTCTCCAACAACCCTAATTGGAAAGCTTGTGTATCGAGATGTTTGTGATCTGAAGCCAGCATGGGATGCGCCTGTTCCAAGTCAGCCAAACATTCGGTGGAAGAAGTGGTTTGATGGTCCCCCTAATGACGTACAATTTCCCAGATCTATTGTGCGACATCAAGAGACAATCGAAAGCGTAGATTTACACAGCTTCGGAGATGCAAGTGGAAATGTAGTTGCGGCCGCAGTTTACGCAGTTGTGAATCAACAATCTGGGAGCAGTCAAGGTCTTGTAGCAGCGAAATCACGTCTAGCAAAAAGAAATACTACAATCCCACGACTCGAACTGACGTCAGCACACATGGCAACGAATCTCCTTAACAACGTCAAGAATGCTTTATCAGGATTTCCAATAAACGAACTGCACGCGTGGTTAGACAGTACCGTGGCCTTGTATTGGATTCAGAACGGCGGTGATTACAAGCAGTTCGTGGCGAATAGAGTTCGAAAAATCCAAGTGTATAATGAAATTGTTTGGCATCATGTACCAACTGGAGATAACCCTGCGGATCTTGGGAGCAGAGGTGGAAGTGTGGCAAACCACAACCTTTGGTAGAATGGCCCGGAGTGGCTCGCCAACCGAGAAGAATGGCCCCCTGAGATTGTGATCAAATCTTTACCTGGAAGCAAAGCAGAAACGAAGATGACGAAAGAAGTCATTAACGCAGCAGTGGAACGAGTCGATGATCAATTCGGTGATCTGTTGAAGAAGCACAACTTTTGGAAGGTCCTGCGAATCGGTGCATGGATCAATCGATTCCTACTGAATTGCAAAGCAAAACCTCGAGATCGACAGTTGGGTCTTCTGCGAGCCAGTGAGATAAAGATCGTGAAGAAATGGTTGATTGAACGAGTGCAGAACGAAGCGAAAAACCAACCAGTATTTGCTAAAGAAAGCCTGGAACTGAATCTTCAAGAGAACGATGAACATATCCTAGAATGTAGAGGAAGAATTCAGGGCGTCTATCCTGTATACCTACCTGACAACCATACTTTTACCGAGAAAGTAGTTGAAGATTCTCACTTGCAAACGCTCCACGGGGGAGTGACCTTAACCATGACTCACGTCCGAAACAGCTACTGGATCCCCAGATTAAGAAGATTGGTCAAGTGTATTCGAAAGAGTTGCTTCGGGTGTAAGCGAGCTCAAGCGAAGGCGTATTCTGTACCGCCCCCTGGAATCCTACCAACAACAAGAACAGAAGGGAAAAATACGTTTGAAGTTATTGGAGTGGACTTCGCGGGTCCACTTAAATATTGTACAGCTCGAAAGACTTTCAATAAATCTTATTTGATCTTGTACACATGCAGCCTGACTCGCGGAATGTATTTGGAATTACTACCAAGCTTAGAGACGGACGAGTTCCAAGACTCGTGTATTCTGATAACGGGGGAACCTTTGTGGGAGCAGCGTCCTGGCTCAGGAAAGTTATGAATGACGAGAAAATGAACGGCTACTTGACAAGGCAAGAGATCGAATGACGGTTTAACCTTAGTCGCGCCCCATGGTGGGGCAGCCAGTTCGAGCGACTAGTGGGACTGGTCAAATCAGCTATGTACAAAGTCATTGGCTGTGGAAACCTATCTTGGAAAGAACTACAAGATGTCATATACAAATCAAAATACAAATCTAAATACATTAAAACTAATCTACTATGCTTTGGTCTATCCATATCTTATTTATGGCAACTTACTCTGGGGAAATACATATAAAAAGCGAATCCAAAAACTTATAAATGTTCAAAAGAAGATTGTACGTTTAATGACTTTTAGCTCTCACTTAGATCATACTGAAAACATATTTCAGCACCTAAATATATTGAACTTAAGCAAACTAAACGATTATCTTACCAGTTTGTTCACGTTCAGATATCATCACTTAAAAAACTTACCTGAATTTTTTGCGAACTACTATATTTCAAATAGTGAAGTTCATAGACATAATACAAGAAATTCTATGAAACTTCATAAGCCTTATCAAAGAACAAACTATGTTAAACATTCACTCTGAATTTATTTGAATTTTGAATTTAATAAATTGCCAATATAACTTTCACAAACAAATACAAATAAATAAATATAAAAATAGAATTACATATGGCGAGGAAATCCAAAAAAGAAACCTAAAGGCTTATGAAATCATGGATTTCCTCCCAGAAATGGATTACAGAAAATTATATAAATAAGCAAATGCAAAATGGCAACATCAAACATTAAATGTAATACGGTAGTTTAACATATTCGATGAATGGCTATATTGATGGTTACAATTCAAAGAAATAAACTTTTAAGCCTGAAAGTAAAAATTTGAAAAGAAACAGAATTAACAATTTCATCCCCAAGTGAGTTAAAAAACTTCGGACCTTGATATCGTATTGAAAACTGACAAATATTTGTCCGACACAACGGCAGGTGGAAAGATTTTGAATTTCTAGTCAGATAGCTATGTACTTCACTATTCAATCTAAAAAAACTATCAAAACATGCAGGCAACAATCCATGTTTATAGGAAAACATAAACTGGCCCATTTGCAATGAGCAAATATCACAAAATTTCATTATATGAAGTTCTTTAAAAATAGGATCTGTATGTGCATCAAAATTACTCCTACTTAAAATTCTGACAACACGTTTCTGAAGTAAAATAATACGATATAAATTACTCTGGTAGGTAGACGCCCATACCAGATTACAATAATATAGATATGGATAAACTAAAGAAAAATATAACGTGCGCATGTTTTCTTTAAATAGG